AGAAAATCAGCAACCCTTTTTAAAAATGATTTCATAGGCAGTTAAAAGTGAAATAAACAACCTATTAAACGAGTAAAAAGAGTAAATGTGATTGGCTGCTATGGATTAATGCATTTTGCACTTCCTTTTAGAACAAGCTAAAGTTATCATTAGTTGGCAAGCGTATATGGAATTTAATATTTCTCTGTTGAGCTCACCGTTGAGTTCTCTAGTGCACCGTTTTTTTATTATTGATATTTTTGCATTTCATATCAGCAGAAGGGCAAAATGCATCTTGGCATAGTTTAAGGACTGTAGTGTTATAAAAATTATACTTTAACTTTCCACTAGTAAGCAAGCAATCTGAGAAGCAGGAAAGTAAAACAAGCTGCCTGGATTATAACGTGTTCTCACCTTTGTGTTCTCGATACACGGACAGATGGCCCACGCCGCGCTTGCCTGCACATCTGGATGAGGGTTTTTTAGCAGTGACCACAGCAAACGTACTCCGTCTAACCGGTCAATTACACTGCCGCGAAGCCGGGCGTTGAAGAAATAAACAATAATTAGAGCAATAGAAATGTAGACCATGACTGTAAAGAATCACATATATCGGACTAAGAAATATTATAGAATTGGTATGTATTTGTTAATTTAATCATTGAAAATGTTGATTCGAAAAGTCTATTGTTAGAAGATAACTCTTGTTACATGACACATATTTGTAATTTAAAGTTCTCTAGATTGTAAGCTTGTATAGGCAGGGCACTCTCTTTTGTTGTAACTCATCAATGTTTGTACTATTTGTATTAATTATGCTTTTTTCTATTACTTTGTACAGCACCATGGGATATAACTGTGTTATAAGAATCACTAATACTAATATTACTACTACTACTGCTAATAATAATAATGATAATAATAAGAATTACAGACAGGCTAAATTTGATTGCTTACAGGCCACTATGTATAAATGACCTAATTTACATAATGTATTCATTGTTGTTAGTACAAGAGGTTTCAGTAGCATTAATGTGAAATATCCCAATTGTTGTACATATAACAGAACACGTTTTTGCTTTAGAAATCTGGCCATTAAGTTGTTGCAATCATCTCATTTGTAACAGATGAGCTTGTTTTATAGAGCAAACTGCAATATGCAAAGTGCAGCAACCAATCAGCAATTATCTAATTCTCTAAACCATTACTTTTTACTCCAGTCCAGCTGTTCATGTTTAAGAATTTTTCTTAAAGAGAATATTTAGTCTGATTTTTTAAAAATAAACATGTAAACAAGCTTGATGAAGGTAATCTTATCAACATGTGCTAATGTTTTTGAAACCTTGAATCTATGCATAGGTTGTAATGTGCTATACAATAGTTGTGCTTTCTGCTCTATCATACACCACAAATGCAGGAACTGGTTGACTCATTGCAAACAATGTACTCCCTCTGTGTCTGATCTCTATAACAGCTCTTAAATTGACCCTGTCGCTATCACAAAATATTTCAAACAAGCTATACCTGTAAAAGAAGACAGAACACATTCACCTTGCTGCCCTCAATTCCGCTGTAATGCTGTGAAATCTTCTGCTGATGTCCGCTGGGAAAACCAACACTTCCAGCACTGTCAATCTTTGGGTTCACTGCAACTCATACTGGTCCCTCCTGCTGACCTCGTCGTCGCTACTATGTCCTGAAATAGGAGGAGGTCAAAGAGCGGAACCAGTGTAAGCTGTGGGGGACACAGGAGATCGACACTGGCGGAATGTTGGTTTCCCAACATGTTTGGACTTCACCAGATTTCTCAGCATTGGAGCAGTGTTAATACGTATGGCTTCGTTGAAAATTTTTTGCATAGTTCCTTTAAGCAAGAGTGATCAAAACAGCTCATTTAACTTCACTCTACTTTAACATAGACAATCCAATAAAACCCCCAAAATGTGTTCACCTAAACTAGACTATACTCTTCTTGTCATCTTTTACTGGGGTCACCCAATCAATAGTTACCACAGCTTTCCTCACTAAGGAAAAATATTACTCCAAACTTTTTTTTTCCATACAGAAAGGCTTCCGTTTTGTCCACAACCTCCAAGCTTACCTCTGGAGAAAACAAAGGTTTTCCTCATCTATCTAATAGTGGCAAGCACTGTAACCTTAAGCACTGTAACCTTAAAGCTAATGAAAGGGTCGATATTCTTTTAAAACTAGATTGGGATTTTATTATATGACTAAAGGACTGCTTCCTGGAATCCTTTAAAGGAGAACTATGAGATGAGTGATTTCCACTCACCTCATAGTTCTAAGCCGACCTGTGACAATGAGACTGCCACAGGTCGGCTCAGTAGATCGGGAGGTGAGGGAACACATACCGGGTTCCCTCACCTCTCGATCCTGTCACGGCTCTCTGCCTTGACAGGGGGAGGGGCTGGATTCCCCTCTCCCCGCTCCGATCTGCCAGCGCTGACTGGCGGAACGGACAGGGGAGGGGGCGGGTACAGCTGGCTCTGCCTCTAGATAGGCAGAGCCAGCTGTCACTCACGCAGCTGGGCGGATCCCGTCATCTACGTCGGGATCCACTCCAGGTGCGGCGTCTCAGTATACCGCGAGCTGTAGCTCGCGGTATACTGAGCTTAGGTTAACGGGAGGACGCTAGTTTGTGTCCTCCCGTTATCCTAAGGAGAACTATGGGGGAAAACACTGACCCCATAGTTCTCCTTTAAGAAAGACAAGGCACTGTTTTCCATTTTCACAAAGATAGTGGAAACCTCTACACTGCCTCTTCTGCTACTGAAAGGCAGGTATGTGGCACTTTGGAGCTGGTTGACATTCTCTGGATTCCTTTAGAAATTCACTTTTCAATGTATTTCAGATACCAGACTGCCTAGAACACAGAGTCTACTTTGCAAGCCTAAAGGTTTTCATTGGTTTCCATGGGTGAAAGGTGCCTACGGGTGCAATTTTTAAGATGTTCCTTCCATTATTGAGCTGTACGGGAATCCCTCTCAATGCTCTCAATAACCCTTTGTTCAATCAGCAGCCTATAACAGTGCAAAGTGAGCTAGCAAAGACAGGACATAACTTTAAAGCTGAAGCTTAAGTTGAAACCTTTATTCATTGTACATTAAGGACTCCTTTGGTGTGCAGTAAAGTGATAAGAATCTAAAAGCAGCACCTGTAGAAGATTTATGGTGCCTGCTCTTTACCAGTGTTATCCAAAAAAAAAACCTTAATGAAGGACAAACATTGTAGTCTAATAAGCAGAAAAAAGTAATTTTATGGAACAGTTTGGCGCTGAAACCTAAGGGCATATCCAAGGCCACAAATTTCCAAGGACAGATCTTACAACCGGACATTGTCCCTACAAATCAGGGATACTTATCAACGACACCTTTACATGCGTATTGGTGAATACTAATATTAGCTGTCTTACATAATGGTAAGTTATATTTTAGGCATACTAGTCCTATTCAAATCTAAATCAACTCATCCTTTCCAGAGAAATTTTAATGAAATCCAAACATTCGCCAGCATAAAGGCTCAGTCACGGTGTAACAAGCAAGCAATTTTCCAACACAAATATTTATTGCAGGACATTATTACTAGAAGAGGATGTGTGTGTTTTTTAAATAACATTTTTGAGCGCAGTTTTCTTGCGGACTGTCAGTGATGTCCACATCGCATTGCGGGGAAGGAAAAGCATCTGTGATACTGATACAGCTTTAAACGTCTGCAGCACAGTGCATCCTTTGTTGGGAACATATAATGTTTAACTTGTTTTCCATGTGCCGCCCGCTAACATGACGGCTTTAAATACTGCTTTATAATTACTTAAGCACACTCTAATCAAACTATCTTCAGGAGGAGCTGAAGAATGAATTATCATCAGAATGATCACAGCACCATCTGTCTTGTGTTTATACATCAATCAGAAAGAGGATCATAACTTTACTTCAGGCTCCGCAGAGATCTTTACACTGAGCAATGGGCCAGACTAAACCTAATATCCCCTTACAAGCCTATCTTTGTGTGGGGACACTGTAAAGCTAAATCTTATGAAGATATGAAGTCAGCTTGAAAGACTTCAGTGCAAAATGAACAAGAGGATTTTATCTGCTACTGAGCACATATAGAGCTAACCTTTGCAAATTTCCAATGCACCTTTATAAGGGTGTTTTGCCTTCCTCTGGATTAACTGCCGATTTAGGGTTCTGAGGGTGCAGGTTTTATTTACATTTATTTATTTTTGTCTTTTGATTGAACTTGATGGACATGTGTCTTTTTTTTTTTCAACCCGACTAACCATGTACATAATAAAACACCAGTAAAAGTTAAAGTGATATTAAACCTTTCTTTTTATGGTTATAAGGCTCATACTTACATTAAATTGATACCCTTCTTCTTTAAAGCTATTTCTTTCCTCATTCACTAGCTGATCCCCAAACCACTCTGCCCTACCTGCCTGTTGTGGGTGTTTCCATTAGCTAGCTGGCTGCTGAGGAGGCACCCGTGCGTGCGTTTTCCCGGCTGTGGCTGCAAGTAGCTGTGTGTGTCCATATACTTCCCAACAGATTGACGGTAGAAGGAGCCAATCATTCCTCTGCCCTCAGTACCCTCCCCCCGCAACCAGGAAGTTTCGAACGGAGGATATTTTTAGGGACCCCACAGCGGTGACAAGTGACCACAGGTAAGGGGTTGGGGGGCAAAGGAACACAGAAAGGTACTGAACTTTTTTTTACCTTAATGCAGAGAGAGATATCATTAAGGTCACTGTTGACATCCTCTCCAGTTATTCTATAGAGAATTTGTAAAATGGCATCATATATTGAGCAAGAAGCTTCCTGGCAAGGTTAAAGCCCAACTTCAGCCTTTTTTTGTTTTGGATATAGTGCGGAAGGGATAGAACTTTTGTTCACTTTTTATTGCTGTCCCCATTAGGGAGATTTTCCCTACTTGCAGTCCTGGTTACAGGACAACAACACTTTATTTCGGTATATTGGGACAGGGTTAGAATGTTTGTGTATATATATATCTATATATAAATATCTAAAAGTTCACTTTAAAAACTTACAAAAGGCACAAAAAGATGCAAATTAATGCAGCCATGTATTAATTAATAAATGATTAAAAGTTTTTTTAAAGGCAGGCAGTGTAAGTACCTGAATTAGACTTGGTATTAGGCTTTTGCCATCCCTTATACAGCACAGCTTAGCCTGGGAAAGACAGACGCAGCACAAGGATCCAACTGGTTGCACTGTAGTGCTCATGTGCTAGCAAGGGACATGCTGAGAGGGAAAGAGAGCAGATTGACAGATAAATTAGCTCATTGGTGTGCAGTTTCTCCTTTCACTGTCCACTCAAACGCTGGGGAGGGATAAAACCTGTAAGTGTCTTGTGTAAGTGTAAGTGCCAGAGAAGAATCAGCTCTCCTGCCCTGCCAGACAAGGCTGCGTGGCCGCTTTGTGTAAATCTCAGGACGGAGAGATATACAAATCCACTGGCAGGTAAAACACCTCCCATATATTTAGTTCATCTGTATATTCATTTATCTGTGCAAAGAGTTCCGCTTTAAAGTCATTGCTTATACAAGTACTTACGCCATATTATCTGGCTCTGACGCACACGCTCCAACAGCTTTGGTGACATTCACCAGCAATGCTTGATTAGTGCTGGTAAGTAAGTTGACCAGTGGATTGATGCCCCCACATTTACGGATAATGGCGCGGTTATCTGGCTCCTGGGCACATTCTCCCAGTGCACCGACAACATTAATGAGGACTTCTTCTGGCTGGTCTGTCAGCAGGGTTACCAGGGTTTCTATGACTTTGATTTCTTGAAACCTTTGAAATAAAATTACAAAAGAAAGCCAAAAATGTCAGTGTCATATAATCTTCCTATGATTGTCATTGCATAGTAATGACACGTTAACATTCTGAAATGCAGGCATCAAAAGTAAGTGTTTTGTTCACAGCAACCAATCAGACTCTAGCTGCCAATTCTAGTGAGCATTTCCTTTCTATTGGACAACATCAGCTTCCATTCAGAGACTTGTAATGCATACAGTATATAATATGTGATTCAGTCAAAGGGAATTCATAGAAAAAAAAATTCAATTTTCATTTGACAAAGATACATACATATCAAAAATGCTTTCACGTCAAATGGCGAGGTCAGACAGGAATATGCTGTGCAGCATCTGACCATTTGGTGAAATTATGTTTATATTATATATATTATATATAATATCATACATATTTGTATGTGCCACATCCTGTTTCAGGCTTGTTTAAATGAACATGTGTATTTAGAAGCATGTGCTGGTATTGCTGAATGCACATGTTGCTGAGTGCTGGTATTGCTGAATTGTTTTCAAAGGTACAGGTACCAAGGTTGCCATTCTTATCCTGTCTTCACTACCTGAAACAAGTATGCATCCAATGAAGTATAAATGTCCAACCTGCTTGTTCCATGGCTCACTAAATCTAAATGAGCATCATGATGACACCCTTTTTTTCAAACTCAAAACATTTTTTAATAGGTCCTGGGAATTTTTGATACTTAAAGGAGCAGTCAGTCAAAGGAAAACAAGCTTAATAGATCTGGCAAGGCAGCTCCCACACAGTACACCTTCCCTCAATGGGCATTCAACATTAGCCCAGATCATAGAAATATAAAAAGAAGCACCAGACCAAAAACAGGTGAAATAATCCAAGGTAACTTAAATTGTTGGTAAAGTGGTCATAAAAAAACAGCCAAAGCACTTTGGGGTCAAACCACTCCCCACTCATCAATGCCCAACACAGCATCAAAACTTGAATGGGCCATACAGATGTGTAATAGGAATTAAACTCTCTTTGTGGATTTGCAATGCAATAGTTGCTGAGCAGCAACCAAAGTCATCAATATAAGCGCCCATAATTCTGTACTATCCAGTTAACTTTAATTTCAGGTTCCAAAAGTTAAATCAGGTAAAAAAATATTCCTTATTGGTTTCTTATTGGTTTATCAGGCTGTGCACACTCACAGTATATTTTCTAAATGTACGCCTCAGCTAAGAGCAACGTTCTCTGAAGGTGGCCATACACTTTTCAACCATCGCAAGACCTTAGTCTTGCGATGGTTGTAAAGTAATTAAAAAAACGTACGATCTGCCCATCTTGGACAGGCAGATCGTACTCTCGATCATCGCAAGCCCGTCCCCCTGAGGGGCGGGCTTCCAATGACCGCAATGCTGAACGGGCAGTGTGTGTGCGCGCACACCGGCCCGTGCGGCATTGATCTTACGATCATGCTAAAAACCAGCCGAAAATCGTACGATTCTCGGCTGGTTTTCTAGCATGCTCCTTAGACAAAAGACGTGCGACCGTACAGTGAAAACGGTCGCACGTCTTCCATACACTGTGCGATTATCGTATGATCGCGGGATTTCCCGCGATTATCGTGCGATAATCGCACAGTGTATGGGCACCTTAATGAAGGGAAGGTGTTGGGGGAGGACTGAATGATGGATCATCCTATATTATTTGCAACTGCTGTCATGTTTTCTACAGTCCTCAGAAGGGTTTCCTTTCTTTCTGCAGAGATAAAACATGCAGAGATAAACAAAGTTTTTCTTCTAAGCATCAAGTTGAAATAGATAAACATTTGGAGGGAATTTACTAAAACTGGAGCGTACAGAATCTAGAGCAGCTGTGCATAACAACCAATCTGATTCCATCTTCAGCTTGCTCAGTTAAGCTTTGAAAATGGAAGCTAGAAGCTGACGGGTTGCCATGCACAGCTGCTCCAGATTCTGTAGGCTCTTGTCTTTGTAAATGTTCCTCTTTAAGTCTTTAAGTCTTTTAAAGTTCCCTTTAAAATAAGCTTCATTATTCAGAGGAACTCTGTAGAGTTTCTCTCTGAGCGAGGACAAGTGCAGTTTGGTGATTCAGGCCTCTCTTTGTTCCTCAGACATAAAACACTCAAATATTGGCTCTTCAGGGAATGGACTCCTGTGAATGTAGACTTCCAACACCCAGAATGAAGAGCCATAAAAATAAGCACAGTATGATGCTGTAAATCTTCAGGGCGTAAACTGATTTGTCTAAGCACGGATTACCTTTTTATCTGTAATATACCACGCCATCCATCAGCGGCGGCAGGCCAATTAGATGACATCTCTGCTAAGCTGTACAGCAGATGAAGTAGCAGGCTGTATATTTTCTTCAGCTAATGTGTAGGCTAGCCATAAGTTATGTGAAGATTTGACGACTGAAGATATTTAGTTGTCCTGGCTCTTTCGCCAACAGCTGCTTATCACCGAGACTGATCTCTAAATGATTCCCTCTGAGGCGGGTTGATGTATATAAGTGCTCCTGAAAGGTGCTTATTGTGTCAATCTGATCCTTGCCGTCTAGGCACTTGTTCCTCAAGCCAATGAACTCATTTCGGCTCCCTGCTACTTTCATTACTCACTGATCTTGTCCTCTTCTTCTGAACAAAATCCCTCACCCTGTCCCTGACCTTCTTTCAACTCAACCAGCTGGCCAGCAATGGCCCAAAACGGCTTTTAAATTGAACATTATCACTGTCTGGGATTTAGATAATGCAAAACACACATCAACTAAGCTAGAAAAAAAGACAAAATCAAAATGTTACTCATACTTTGTCACATTATCCCGGCTGATGGAACACTTCCAGATGGCACCAGTCACTGCCGCTAATAGCTCCTTATTGTCAAACTTGTTAAGTAGCATGGCTAACGGCTGCAGACCTCCATATTGTCTGACCAGATCCCGGGTCTCCTCATCCTCCGCACACTGTACATCACAAACAGAGAGAAATTTGAGAAAGATTCCCCATCTCGTACACAACATTAATTTTCCAGAAAACATTATCGGTGTTCGTGTTTGCGAATCAACTGCCTAAGTAATAAGATTCGAAGTCTTCAGTAATATGAATTGCCTTATGGAGTGGGAATTGGTGATTATGGCTTGCCTGTGGCTTCTGTAGTACTGCCAATGCATCTCTGTTCATGTTATCCATTTCATAATACTTTACTTGGACATTTAATATGACATCAATTACAAGAAACAAAATAGCTGCTGCCACTTGCATTATAAGAGACAAAGTGGATGACTTACACAGAGAAGAATGCTGGCAGGAATCATAATCATACAACCTAATGTCATAAACAATACCCAGTCAGTAAGGAGGGTAAAGACTAAGGGAGCAAAGCAATAAAGTAAATAGAGAAATCCAGACAAACACCGGGTACGCTAAAACGCCTTGGAAAAAAAAAAGTACATTTTTTTGTCGTCACTTAAACCACAACATATGTAAGTTGCAAAAGCAAATAAAACATAATGTGAGGACATCATTATGGGGATCGTTGGAGGAGACAAAATGAAAGAGTGGTATGCCAAATGAGGTGAAGAAAAAAAAAAGTTTCATTTTAACAAACATTTTGGCTTGGACCTGAATAGCTGGTATAACTAAAGCCCCATTATATTTCACTGTGCCGCTTTTATCCTGCTTGTACATTTGGACAGACATCCTAAAGTGTAGCACAGTGCTGCTCAACTCTCTCATTGGGGGACTGATATTGGCCACGGGAAGGCTAATTCATGAAGTTAGACGGATACAGATGTTTTCTTTCCATCATATAAAAACTGAATAAAGAAGTCTATTGCACTGAAGTTTACATTTTTTTTTGTTTAGCCAGAAATACAGCTTTATACATGTCTATTGGCCTGTTTGTTCAAACTTCACTCTATAGCAGAGCCCCCGACACTGATCCGATACCACACTTCCTGGTGTATGGAATAGCATGTCCCCTGCAGACCATTGTAGCTCCTCCAAAGACCTTTATGTCACTATTGTGTCGTGCAGTAACTAGGGGTCAGCAGGTATAACCACAGCAGCCAGTGTTGGGGCAGGGGGGTAGGGGATAGCTATTTGACCAATTGGAGAGATTGGATTGGGGTTGGGAGCTCTTGCCATGACCTGGCAATGCTGCCTGAAGTGGGTGTCTGAGCCACAAGTAACACCGTTTACATATATGTAATTAATTATTTTGTCTGGAGATTATACAGTTCTGAATGGGTCAGTCCACCCAAAAAATATTTCAGATACAGGTAGGGTATACTAGGCTGAGTGACCAGTTGATTTCATATACCTCCTAAAGATTTAACAGGAACATTTCTACCAAAGCTTTCCATCCTGTTCCTGGCCACCTATTAGTATAATTTCTCCGTGTACAGCAGGGGTATTCTCACTCCATTAGTTGTATTATCCATAATAGGGAGTAAAAACCTAAAGAGAAAGTGACACACCCTTGTAATGGCCAAGGCAGCTGCGCAGATCCAGAAACTTAAGGACAGAGACTCAGCTAACAGACTTCCTAAAATATGTAAAAGACCGTTTGTGGTATAACTTTCCAGAACCACTTAGCCAGGGGTTGGCAACCTCAGCACTCCAGCTGTGGTGAAACTCCAAGGTGGACTTCGCTTTTCAGATCAAGGGACAAGCCTCTGATAAGCACTAAACAAGATGCATTGTATCAACATTGTTGTCATAGGGTTAATTTACTAAAGACGAATAGGCTATTTTGCACTTTACACAGGAATTTTCACTTTGCAAGGGAATTTTCCCTTATCTTAGTGAATGAGATGAAGCTCTGATGACTTCCATCATCCAATCACGTGCAAACAAAAATACTGTTTTTTATTGTCCTTGCATCTGAGTGTTTGTTTTTTTTTAGGTGAATTTTGACCACATTCTAAAAGAAAATTTGCTTGCAAAGAGAACAGCCTAATTGCCTTTAGTAAATCAATGTACCCTGGCACCACTGTCTGTGGGATTCACAGAGGAGCCACTTTTAGCATTCCTGAAACACAAGGTGGGTCCTTTCTAACAGCTGGGTCCTGACGATTACAATGGCAGAGTGCACATATTCAGGTGAAGCCCTAGGCAAAGCCCAAGGTCCTTGACAAATTAAGTAATAAATAGGCTAATACTATACGAACAGACCGCACTATCGAGAGTATTCCAATACTTCAGACTTTATTGAAATTCACAGCAAATCCAGTGTAACAGTGTATGTAACAGCAAATACCAGCACCGCAAACCCCCAACCAGCTACAACCTCTCACACGTTTCACCCATAGGTTTATTCATAGACCTCTACAACCTCTCACACGTTTCACCCATAGGTTTATTCATAGACCTCTACAACCTCTCACACGTTTCACCCATAGGTTTATTCATAGACCTATACAACCTCTCACACGTTTCACCCATGGGTTTATTCATAGACCTCTATAAATAAGCCTATGGATGAAACATGTGAGAGGTTGTAGCTGGTTGGGGGTTTGCGGTCCTGGTGTTCGCTATTACATTCACTGTTACACTGGATTTGCTGTGAATTCCAATAAAGTCTAAAGTATTGGAATTCTCTGGATAGTGCGGTCTGTTCGTATAGTTCTACATTCCAAGGTGGAGACGCACCTATTAGACCAGCACCTGGGGAGTCCTGATGGCGCCTAAGGAATTGGAGCGGTGAGATTTCTTTTGGCTCTAAATAAATAGGGTATTATCTGAAAAATCTAAATTAGAAAAAGGCAGTAAAAACGTGGAGTATTCCACTCTTACATTCCAGTAAGAGTCTTTACATTTATATTCTCCTGTCTGCTTTAATGAGGTCATCAGCTACAGTATATGCCAAGCAAAACTGCTGCAACTAAGCAGAATCATTATAATAAAAACTGCACATCATCACAATAAAACACAATAGTGTTCCTTTTCTCCATCACATTTAGTCCTAGACAGATAGCATTTCAACTGCAAAACAATAAACAGCAGACAATTATATAAAAAAGAACCTACCTTAAAGATAGCACTTGCACAATTCATCTGTAGCTCTTGGTTTTCACTGTTCAGGTTTTTCACTAGATCTTCAATCATCTTCTCTGTCTTAATTGCAAGCCTGTAACTCGGCTGAAAAATAGGCAGAAAATATTTAAATAAATAAATACATTAAAATTATATGTATATCGCTTCTTGGCTTGTATTTGCTATTTTGTACCCCTGGGTGTGACAGAAACACTTAGGTGACAATTTATAAAGGAGACCTTAACCCCCTCTTCACCAACCACAGGACATTGCTACAAAAACTTTGCACTGCGTCTGCATTTTATTATTATTTTTAACAGAGGTGTATGATGTGCTGCAGTGTGTTTTTGTTTAATGCAGCAAAGAACTTTCACCACTAAAAGTAGAGAAGGTATCACATTGTTCACTTAAAGGGTATGTAAATAATAAAAATGAACGTCTCTTATTGAATTTCCTTTGGTCTGTTTAATGCACCAATGAAAGTGTTTTGTTTGAGTGCAAAAAAGTATAAAAGTATAAAAAATAAATGCAGCCACAATATCTAAGGACTGGTAAGCTGCAGTATATTCCATTTCTGGTTTTGGGTTTGGATATGCTTTAAAGTAAGCCTTTGACATATATAACATATATAACATAAAAGGCAGATGCGTGGTGCTGAATCCTTAGACAGGTTGTAATTCCACAAAGTCACATGATAGACGGAAGTGGGTTTGAATGGACCAGATAGCCCCTATAATGAGCCCCAGTGTAGTACCAAAAGAAAAAGAAGAAGCACTCCTTCTCTTTCTTCTGACTTATATAACATAGTTAAGCTGACATAAAGTCACACATGTTACAAACTGATTTTAAAGAAGAACTCCGGGCGCAGTGTTTATCAACCCTTGCCCTGGGGCTACCCCCTGCATTGCAAGGGTTAACTGTTTGTTTTGGTTTAGAGAGGAAAATAACAAAGTTATACTTACCCGATCCTGCGGCTGTCACAGTGCTCCCTCGGCGTCCTATACATGTGATGACTCAGGGACTTTAGACTGCTGCAGCGGAGGTGGAGGAAGACTAGAAGGACCAATCTAAGGCCTGGTTCACACCTGGGCGTTTTACAGCGCGTTCCTACGAGCTGTAAAACGCTCGACATGTGAAAAACAATAATTGCCTATGGGCATGGTTCCCACCTGGGCGTTTTACAGCGCGTAGGAACGTGCTGAAAAACGCCATACGCCCAAAGAAGTACAGGAGCTTCTTTTGGGCGTATTTGCCACGCATATCCATTAGGATACAGCCAGAGGGCCCTCAGAAACACGAGTCTGTTGCGCGTTTCTTTTACCGCAAATCGCTGTAAAAACACGCAGCAAACGTGCATATTCCGTACGCCCAGGTGTGAACCCAGCCTAAGAGCATGCTAATTCAGAGGATCAGGGGATTATAACTTTATTTTCCTCCCTAGACCAAAGAACAGTTGTAGTGTGGGGGTAGCCCCACTGCAAGGGTTAATACAAATTATGCCCAGAGTTCTTCCTTAACACCTTTTGGTTTGGATGAAACATGTGAGAGGTTGTAGCTGGTTGGGGGTTTGCGGTCCTGGTGTTCGCTATTACATTCACTGTTACACTGGATTTGCTGTGAATTCCAATAAAGTCTAAAGTATTGGAATTCTCTGGATAGTGCGGTCTGTTCGTATAGTTCTACATTCCAAGGTGGAGACGCACCTATTAGACCAGCACCTGGGGAGTCCTGATGGCGCCTAAGGAATTGGAGCGGTGAGATTTCTTTTGGCTCTAAATAAATAGGGTATTATCTGAAAAATCTAAATTAGAAAAAGGCAGTAAAAACGTGGAGTATTCCACTCTTACATTCCAGTAAGAGTCTTTACATTTATATTCTCCTGTCTGCTTTAATGAGGTCATCAGCTACAGTATATGCCAAGCAAAACTGCTGCAACTAAGCAGAATCATTATAATAAAAACTGCACATCATCACAATAAAACACAATAGTGTTCCTTTTCTCCATCACATTTAGTCCTAGACAGATAGCATTTCAACTGCAAAACAATAAACAGCAGACAATTATATAAAAAAGAACCTACCTTAAAGATAGCACTTGCACAATTCATCTGTAGCTCTTGGTTTTCACTGTTCAGGTTTTTCACTAGATCTTCAATCATCTTCTCTGTCTTAATTGCAAGCCTGTAACTCGGCTGAAAAATAGGCAGAAAATATTTAAATAAATAAATACATTAAAATTATATGTATATCGCTTCTTGGCTTGTATTTGCTATTTTGTACCCCTGGGTGTGACAGAAACACTTAGGTGACAATTTATAAAGGAGACCTTAACCCCCTCTTCACCAACCACAGGACATTGCTACAAAAACTTTGCACTGCGTCTGCATTTTATTATTATTTTTAACAGAGGTGTATGATGTGCTGCAGTGTGTTTTTGTTTAATGCAGCAAAGAACTTTCACCACTAAAAGTAGAGAAGGTATCACATTGTTCACTTAAAGGGTATGTAAATAATAAAAATGAACGTCTCTTATTGAATTTCCTTTGGTCTGTTTAATGCACCAATGAAAGTGTTTTGTTTGAGTGCAAAAAAGTATAAAAGTATAAAAAATAAATGCAGCCACAATATCTAAGGACTGGTAAGCTGCAGTATATTCCATTTCTGGTTTTGGGTTTGGATATGCTTTAAAGTAAGCCTTTGACATATATAACATATATAACATAAAAGGCAGATGCGTGGTGCTGAATCCTTAGACAGGTTGTAATTCCACAAAGTCACATGATAGACGGAAGTGGGTTTGAATGGACCAGATAGCCCCTATAATGAGCCCCAGTGTAGTACCAAAAGAAAAAGAAGAAGCACTCCTTCTCTTTCTTCTGACTTATATAACATAGTTAAGCTGACATAAAGTCACACATGTTACAAACTGATTTTAAAGAAGAACTCCGGGCGCAGTGTTTATCAACCCTTGCCCTGGGGCTACCCCCTGCATTGCAAGGGTTAACTGTTTGTTTTGGTTTAGAGAGGAAAATAACAAAGTTATACTTACCCGATCCTGCGGCTGTCACAGTGCTCCCTCGGCGTCCTATACATGTGATGACTCAGGGACTTTAGACTGCTGCAGCGGAGGTGGAGGAAGACTAGAAGGACCAATCTAAGGCCTGGTTCACACCTGGGCGTTTTACAGCGCGTTCCTACGAGCTGTAAAACGCTCGACATGTGAAAAACAATAATTGCCTATGGGCATGGTTCCCACCTGGGCGTTTTACAGCGCGTAGGAACGTGCTGAAAAACGCCATACGCCCAAAGAAGTACAGGAGCTTCTTTTGGGCGTATTTGCCACGCATATCCATTAGGATACAGCCAGAGGGCCCTCAGAAACACGAGTCTGTTGCGCGTTTCTTTTACCGCAAATCGCTGTAAAAACACGCAGCAAACGTGCATATTCCGTACGCCCAGGTGTGAACCCAGCCTAAGAGCATGCTAATTCAGAGGATCAGGGGATTATAACTTTATTTTCCTCCCTAGACCAAAGAACAGTTGTAGTGTGGGGGTAGCCCCACTGCAAGGGTTAATACAAATTATGCCCAGAGTTCTTCCTTAACACCTTTTGGTTTGCCAACAACTATGAAGTACATAGTATTACCTGACTAGATATAAACTGGATGGATTGTTCGTTTTGGAGCTCACACTACATAATTGTTAGTAATTCTAAAGTAATTTGCACAGGCATCGTAAAATCAGATCATAAGGTGTGTGGCCAGCTTAAGAGAGATTCTCTTGAGGATGGGCATGTCAAAGCTCTAACTCTGAAGCTCATATCTATAAGCAGTGTATAGGTTTCCAAATTGCCCATGTCTTATGTCAGCTTTATTATCATAGATATGGAACAGATTTACTTAAAAGCAAATCAATCACAAACCTGAGCATATTATTGTTATTATTATTATACAGGATTTATATAGAGGCAACAGTTTGCACAGCGCTTTACAATATAAGGAAGACATTACAATCACAATACAATTCAAGACAAGATGGTAAGGAGGGCCCTGCCCCTGAGGGCTTACAATCTAAAAGGGAGGGGCAAGTGATACATGAGGAGGTATGACAAACGTATGCATATAACGACTCTATGATTAAACCACACTACAGCGCAAAATGTGTAAAAGGCAGACAGCCTGTAGAGTGTTTTGTCTACTTGTTTTATGTGCTATACACAGGAAGGCACGGCATCCACGGAACGGTTTGCGAGGATACTTGTTTGGGACGGGGGAGTGGAGTTAATAGCAGATTATGATATGACAAACAAATGCAAAGGGAGTTTCTATCTTTCATTAGAACCTTATGTGAAAACGTCATGTAAAAATATATTTTTTTCATGTTAAAATGATCAATTCAGGATTGCAAATCTTGAGTCTTAATGGAAAAGACAAACTTGATCTCACTCCCTCTCAACTCCAAAGACATACTGATGTTCCTTTATAGGCATCCTCTAAAACCAATATAGAGGCAAGAGGTAGCGGGGCCAAGCTCAATCTTTACAGAAAGTCAGGATGTGCCTTTATTTAGAACCTCCCATTTAATTAGAACCTTAACTTTAATTAGAATCTCATACAAAAATGTAATGTAAATATATATATTTTTTCATGTAAATGTTTATGATTGCACATCTTGACTTTTAGAAAAGTGGAACTTGATCTCCCTAATTTCCAACTCCAAAGACACACTGTTGCTCCTTTAATGTGATGGGCACCCTCGATGACCAATAGAGTGGGGCTAGATACTGGATGGAGTGGGGCCAAGCTCAACCTCTATAGGAAAAATCAAGAGCTGCATATAACTTCAGTTGCTGAGCAAGTAATCATTCTAGAAAGACCTTAAATAGGGCTGTAGACTTCTTTTCCACACCCATTCACCAAACGTCAGTATTGCCACATGAAAGAAAGGGGTGCGAGTCACATGCTCCTCCATATGTGGAAGTACCAGGTATTTTGGGAGCAGTGGGAAGCAGAAAAAAAGCTGTGCTGCAGGAGAGCAAGGTATTGATGTTCACCTGTTGATTTGCCCTTCATTGAAAAACACAGGTTGCTTTAAAGTGAACCTGTAGAGAAATATGAGCTGCTACTTACCTTGTACTGACCCACCACGCTAGGTCTCTTCTACTCCCCTAGGATCCCCATAAGATCCCGCTATAGCAGAGTGCTCCATGGTGCAAACAGCAACCATCACATATCACATTCTCAAACAATTCATCCCCACGCAACTACCTCCTCATGTATCACTGGCCCCTCCCTTTAGATTGTAAGCACTCAGGGGCAGGGCCCTCCTTACCATCTTGTCTTGAATTGTATTGTAATGTCTTCCTTATATTGTAAAGCGCTACGCAAACTGTTGGTGGTATATAAATCCTGTATAATAATAATAATAATAATAACCAGCTTTGACTTGCCCTTCCCACAGTGCTGGTAACACAGTTGACTGACAAGGGATCTGAACAGGACACACCTGCCAAACAGTATGGGGGTGGTAAGTGTATCGTTTTTCCACTTTTTTTCTATGAAGGAGGAAAACCTTCTGTCTTTCTGTCCTTTTCTGTTTTTATGTATCCACTACCTTATGAAAATGTGTTACTGAAACATTATTGTTTCAACGTATCTGCTTTTTCCTTTATTTTCATGTGGTTTTATAGTCAAGCCTAAACACTATAAAAAACCTATATAAAAACCGCACTAATATATACTGTACAAATAGATATCTTAACACATTAAACAGAGTTCAATAAGTTAATGGCAAAAAAACTGTGGTTGCAGCGTCTGACCTGCTATCACTTTACAAAGCTTAATAAAATAGCTCAGCCCGAAATTGCCTATTCTTCAGAGAATCGTCCAAAGTTTACATCATCATGCTGTTTTAATTATTTAAGTACCAAACAAAAGGTTAATCAGAAGACCATTCAGCTTGGATGGTAACCTTATAACCATCTATTCCGTAATAAACACTAATAGAGGATTTAACAGAAGAAGTTTCAATTAGTTTTCGCACAGATGTTTCAGCCCCGTGTATCAGGGGACTCCAATCTTCCGATACACCATATTTAGAACTTATGTGGAAAACAGAGTAAAAGGTTACTTCATATAAAAATATACCATTCTCATTTTATGCTCTTCTGGGAAAGAAAAGTCAAAAACATAAAAATATAAAACCACAGTTATACAACTAGACGCGTGCCAAGATAAAAACGACCAATAGGTCAGATTTACATTTTGATATTATGCTATAATAATATTATGGATATAGGCTTTAGGACCATTTAAACATTTATGTTCATATCTGACCTGTTATGTCAAATGTAATTTTCTTTCTATTAGCTAAACTGCTTAAAATGACTCTTTAAACCCCTATACATGATCGGTTTTGCCTGAAAATGGTTTAGATTAAAACTATTATTTTCTGTCTGTGTTTTTTTAACTAAATATCTCTGCATTTGATAAATGGGTATAGTTTGAAAGGCAACTGGAGTCTTTAAATAAATGTTAAGTTATAAATATGAAAGAAATGCCTTGACTGTAAATAATCTTACAATTGTATAACTTTTTTTTTAAACCCTGGTTCTACATACAGTTTTACATTTTATATGTACATCTACTCTTTATATGTATGCTTCCTGGTTAATAGTGCTGCACACTGCTTTTGCCTTACTGATATTCTTCTTTCACTGTGAGTTTTCCCGGGTCTTTCTGAATGAATGTAATAAACTTTCGGCAGTCTTTAATGACATCTAATCTGCACAAAGCTCATAGACCTAGGGAACTTTTTAAGAAGGCAACTGTTTTACTCAAAACAATTGTGTCCTTATATCAGTCCTACTGATTTGTGTGTAGTATGATTTACAACACAAATTTAAATTTTTAGTATCTGTTTGGATTACATTTTTTACTACATAAATAATTGGCTACTGAACTGTGCCCACTGATATCTTGTCGAATATTATTATTATTATTATTATACAGGATTTATATAGCGCCAACAGTTTGCACAGTGCCTTACAATATAAGGAAGACATGACAATTACAATACAATTCAAGACAAGATGGTAAGGAGGGCACTGCCCCTGAGGGCTTACAATCTAAAGGGAGAGAATAATGCCATCATTGTGGGTATTGTTTTTGATGGTGCCACTTAAGCGGTGGTTGTGTTTTTTCTAATATTAAAAAATACAATTTAAATGATGTTAAGTGCTAGTTTGATTTTGCGTGGTCTAAAAAAAATCAAATAAAAAAAAGTGAAATTACATTTTCTTATTTTTCTCAAACAAAATGTCAAACCCAAAAACTGCCAAAAAAAAAATCTTCTAACCTGTCCGTCTGCTTCCTTTTCAATTTAAACTCATATAAAGCCCACACATAGTCTGCTTTTTCATACATCCCTTCAGAATTATATGATCATCAGAAGCCTAAAAATGTCCTCATAATATACACTTGTTGTGTATAAGCAGGTAGAGGTACATACCTCTGAAGCACATTCCTGCAAAGTGCCCACCACAGGTATCAGCATGTTTGAATGAGGAGATTTAAGCAGTCTTGCTAGTAGCGGGATTCCTCCGGCTTTACGAATGGCTTCTTTATTCCTTGTGCTTTTAGAACAACTCCAAAGCGCCAAGGCTCCACAACATGCCACTTCAATGTCCTTCTCCTGCTCTGGAGTCAAGTTAGAGGATCTCATGGGAACGCAGTCCAACAGTCCCACCTTGAAGACAACATTATGGAATAAATTAAGCTACATTTGGTCGTATGAAAAAAAAACCCATAAACATCTGTACCTTGGGAAGTTTAGGCTTTTGTAACAAAGTTAAACCAGGATCTGAGCATCAAGCTCTATGATCTACATATGTTGTTTCCCAACTTCTGGGTGTACAGTGGTCAAGGAACAGGCAGTTGACATGGCAGTAGCTATTAGACTCCTATCTCTAAATTAAAAAGGTCCACGCCCAGATCTGTCCACCTACTTTATCCTATTCAGTAAAAGAAACTCAGTGGCCAATTGGGTATATTCAATGAACAGAGGGCGAGATGGGCGGGGCTTAACTCATCTTGGTAGAGCTTATACCCAAAACAAAAAGCAACATCTTAAGTCAGACTGGCTAACTGGCAGCTGAAATCTGGCTAGTTCAACGCTGAAAAAGTGACTGAAGGCAATAAGTAAAAGCACTGAACTAATAGATAATGTTCTCCACGTCTAAAGTCCATGTACTGCCACTAAAGTTAAAAAGTCCACTCGATGTACCTTAGTTTGTGATGTTCTTTTTAAAATAGTTTTTCTGTTGCCAAATTTGACATTTAGAAGGCTACTGGAAGGGACTGCAGTATCTTAGGGAGTAGGGACTGCAGTATCAGTAGGGAGATGCCAGTTTATGCATAACCAAACTCTACTAAGCCTTGTAGTGGAGGTCAACCAACCAACATGTATAACCCTATGTAAGTGGATCTCTCTCATTTTTTCCCCAAATTAGTACAGATATGCATAATTAGCATGAATAGAAATGTGGATGCATTGGGTTGAGATTACAAGGCCTGCAGAAAACAATACCAGAACAATTTTACACTGATATAGTAAGAAAATACCAGGATAAAAACAATAGCCCTAGGTGAATAAGCTCTGTTCTTTGTGCGGATTTCCATGCTAAAAGTTCAACTAAGACTGCTGTGTACCTTTAGAGAGGCTCTATCACCAGTGGGAGGAAATAAAAGTAATAGCACCCTGTGGAAGAAGAACCTTTATACTTACCTGTCCAGTGGGTGGTGAGTTAAATCTTCACTTTCATGCCAAGCTTCAAGTGCAGCTGCTATGAGACACTTTCAGATGAATAGCGTGGCCCACATCCGGGTACTGGGGTCCCTACCGACCCCTACGTCACACAGGACAATGTAGAAAAACACTAGAAGTGTGGGGTAGCCACGGCAGCTGGGGCTCCGCATGAGAGGGAATTTTGCCTCACCACCTTACAGACAGATAAGTGTTTTCACCCACTGAATGCTTCACTTAAGTTTTTCCCAGTGGCAACAGGGTCCCTTAAATTTTGTTTTACATGAAAACTAAGTATAAGAAACCTAAACCACAGACGCTGAAGATTTTACTTTAACATAATTGTTTTCTGCTAGTTGTACAGAGAACAGATCGAGGGCTGTTTTTGTTTATTTAAAGTACAATTGTCTTCTCATCAGGCATCCATTAATTTTTATTAAGTGTCTTTGAAACGAATGGTATTTTCCAGACGCTAAACATACCCACGAAAGTTGCATTCCAGTCTCCCCCCAATATTCATTTTAAAGATCTCAAATGGAATTTCTTATTCCTCCAAAGCATTTCGAATTGAGCCGAGTTATGGAACTGGAAAATTACTTATTGAAAAGTTAGATGTACAAGCCAAAAGTAGGAGGGGCTACCGCTAATGCAGTATACTGCCCTGCTGTCAATGATTAATTAATTCTGCTCATAAACTTTACAAGTTATAAATCTGCCATAAATCGCAGCGTAATGAAAATCCCAGAAAATTAAAAAAATTGGCAAAACACAATTACAGCACTGGACATGTATTGTCTGTTTTATGAGTGCTTACAAAAGGGCAGTGTTGTAGTATAGGGTGGTAAAACATAAGCGTTTTATCTTCAGTAAAAGTCACACAGTTGCTCTTTTGAGGTTTGTTGTTTTTCTTTTGAGAAATGCTTGTGATAAAATAAAACCACGTTTTCACAGCTTGAGGATTATTTGGACAGAAAAATTTTGTTCCACTAGCAAAGCATCATTGTTCTTCTAGATTCAAAGCCAAAGCAACACGCATTAAAGCAGCAGTGCTCAACTCAGGTTCTAATGATCTCACTTAGCACGAGCGATCTCATCTTAAAAAACATTCCAGACCTTGAGGACAGGAGCTTAGCATCACTGTATAAACATGTATGCAAAGCTAAAACCTTAATTGTAGTTTTGGATAGAGTAGAGAAGGGTTAAAACTAGGGATGCACTGAAATTTCAGCTGCCAATAGTACCAAAATGGCGAAAAATGCAGTGCATCTCTAGCTTCTCTCAGATCAGAGCAGTCAGGATGGAGAGTGGAGTAAAAACATCAGTATCAGCCATCAGTACTGAATTGCTGTTTGTAAATAACTGAGGACATAGTAAGCACTTCCTATGAATAAACAGGAAGTGTTCTACATCACTTCCTGTTCATTCATGATTGTGGACATAGTAACTGGTACTGATTTATGAATAGACAGGAGCACTCAGTATAGAGGCTTCCTGTTAATTCATAACATGGGCTGCAGAAAAAGAGATTTAGGACTCTGTGTCCTCAATCTGTTTTTCTTTTTAAAAGAGAAATATCAGGGGTCTATTTAGCCCCGACAGTACATAAAAAAAATAACAACAATAATAATAAAATAATTTTAAAATAATTTACATTTTGTTTAAAAGGTTGGGAAAAAAAGTCATTTTCGGTTTCGGTCCCGGCCTGACAATTTTTAAATTTCGGTTTAGGTTTAAAAATTACATTTCTGTGCATCGTTAGTTAAAACCCATGTCAGAGAGGGCCGGGGAAAGCCGCGGGGAAAGGGCATGGACTGGGCCCATCTATGCCTTCTGACGGCGAGACGGTGTATAATGAGGCACTGGAACTCTCCACTGGCCCCAACGACAACAGAGATTACCATGGATCTTAAACTCCTGATGAATAAGGACAAACTGGATGCAGAGATGCATAAAGATACCCGTTCTACGTCTTTCCTATCACGCTGGAAGTATTTTCTTAGTAGTTCTTTTTCTGTAGAGGACATCCACCAAATCATTAAGCCCTTCCGCTACACTAAATGGTACTTGACTAATGACTTGTCGAATGCCTTGGGGGTCCTGCAGCTAGGGCAAGACTGACGGCCTCTCTGAGAGGCAGGTCTTGGCGTAATTTGAATACTGCTTGATTACACGGTCTGAATACTTGTTTATAGTGGGAGTACTGTTAGTATTGTTCAGAATGCTCCATCTACTATGCATATGTTCCTTGATGGATTGTTATGGATGGAATTAACCACTGCGTGGTATAATTATTACTTTGAAGTGATGACGTTTGTTTTAAAAATGTAAAGATTGCTAAAAGTTAATAAAACATTTTTGAAAAAAAAAACCCATGTCAGTTTGTTTTTGCTATCAGTGTGTTGTTGGGGGGATGTCCCTTCACTTCCTGTCCTGAAGACACAACCAGAAGTGAGAGGAAATCTGTACAAAGTAAGGGAAATTTCCCTCTAGAGTTGACCAATCCAAACTGAAAAACAAATCACAACAGTCAACAAAGTACTTACCAGCCTCTTGATGCCACCATGCTGCCTTACTGTCCGCCTGGCTCGTCTGAACTTTGAAACGTTTGCAATAGTTTCCGCTGCAAGGCATTTCAGATCCTTGTCCTGGCAGTCGAGTATGTTCACCATTATCTGCAGTCCTCCAAGGTCAGCAATGGCCGATCTTATTTGTGAATTGTGGCTAATTTCCTTTAAAATCTTCAATGAACCAATCTAGATGAAAGAAAAAAACATGGCAGAAGAGACAAATCAGAAATAGAAAAATACAGCTCATGCAAATTTATGAATATGTGTTCACTATAAATTGTATCTGCTTATCTCTAACCCTATTCTTGGCCCTAACATTTCACCATAACCCTTTTATGACCAAAGGTCAGTGATGACAAGATGCCCAGATCAAATTTAGCAGTGTGACCATGCTTTGGTTAACTTGACAATAACTCAATACTGTAATTGTGTCTGCAATCTCAGTGTTATACAGATAAACACTGTCAAATTCAGGCTGCCGTGGCATCTGCTGGCTTATTTTGCCAGTCACCCTGCCTGTGTAATAGTTAGCATAGTGATCACATGGTCAGAAACCTCTCTGATGATCAGAGGGGACTACAGCTGTTAGTGACATTCAGGAATGAGAGCCCCCAGCCTTGCAAAGTGTTTGCTGGTGGCTCCCAATATAAGAGTAATGTTTGTAATGTATCACCAGCATAGGGCATGGCTCCCCTTCCCTGAACTTCCTGTTGAGTACAAGATCACAAGGGAGAGCTCAGTCTCCAGCAGCCGTCCATCTACCAGCTTGGAGAAGGGAAGGAGGAGGAGCAGAGAGCAGGAAGGATGGGAGTGGTTTACCTTGCTGTGTGTTTGTGGAGACACACACAACTTACTAGCACACACAAGGGTGACTCCATAGGACCCTGCAAGAAAAGGAGCCACCCTGAAACAGGATATCAGGACCAGTGCTCAGGAGACCACCTGATTCTACAGAAAGCTAAAACTTTCAGCAGAGCTATTTTCTTTGAAACAATTTTGTCTAACTGAAACTTCAAACTGAACTATCCAGCAAGAAAAATGTGCTGGGAAGAGTCACTGCTGATAAGTCAAACACAAGTCGTCTTTCACCAAAGAAACAAACCGTGACCCTTTAAGAGTGAAAAGAAGCCTAAAGCTCCACCTCCTGGCTCAAACAGAGAAATCAAAATATTAATGAAAAATATTTCATATAGGAAAATATTATCTGCTGCACATTTATTAGGATGTCCATACCATACACTTGATCTCTTCTGTATCCAACAAGTTAATGAGAAGTTCCAGTCCTCCAACATCTCTTATAGCCAGCTGACATGTTTCATGAGCAAGATTGAAATCTCTCATTGAACAAAGAGCAATAACAGTGGCCGTCTGGTTTCCTCCCTAAACAAAAGAAACAAAAAATTATGCAATGAGTAATTAAAATGAAAATATTAATGAATGAAACAATAACATAATAATATAAACAAATAGTAGTAAAAATAATGATAAAAGTATGTCTAACTTTTTTATAATAAAAGCCTAAACAGTAAAGCAGTTAAAGGATAATTAAACCCTCCTGGTTTTTTTTGCATATATCTACTGCTAGGAAGTAGTAGATATATGCAAAAACATTTTTTTTTTAAAAGGCTAAGAAGAGGGTTTAAACTTACCTGTGTCTCTGCTGCGCGCTCCCGTCCGAAGATCTTAAGATTCTCGGGCGGCCGTAAAGGATCTTGGGGTGGGCACATGCGCAGTACAGATCTTCGGCCGGGAGAAGAGAGACGCAAGGTAAGTCTATGAAGCAGCGTGCACCTGCACAGCTTCTGTGGGACAGGAAGTACCAGGAAGAGAAACGTGTCAGCACTGGATTGAAGACCAGCACCAGCACTGGAGGGAAACATGAAAACTACAGGAAAGAAGAAGATGATCGGATCAAGAAGCATCATTTAAGGTGAGTCCTTACACCAGCATTGGGGGGGGGGGGGGACTTTAGCCTTTAATGTCACTTTAAGGTGGATGTTTCAGTAACTGCATAAGCGTGCATTAATGAATTCCTAAAATTGCACAATATACATTACCAGTTCATGATTAAAAAGCAGTCCTTGAGCTAAGCTCAAACTGTGCAGTAAGTCACAAAGAGGGGCTGGTCTGTGCAAGACATTTGTGAACAAAGTCAAGAATCGTAGAGACACCAGAAGGAACAACTCTGAGCCCGCATCTCAATCCAGGAATTAGACATTGCCCCCAGATGATGCCTGAACAAAAATGGCATTGTCATTGTCGGATGAAGGCACTGTCATTGTAATAAACACCTGAAAGTGTTAAACTGACGCATGCAGCATGCATACACTTAAAGCAGAACTACAAACTCTTATCCCTTACAGCCAAGGAAGGTGCCACTTTATTCTCTATTTTGATTGCAGTTGACATGTTGCTGCACATGTGACCAGCTGAGACTCCAGCCATTCAAGCGCTTGAATGTTTGGTTGAGAGCTGAAATAAGCACACTTGCAACCTTGACAGTTGGCATGCCTTAAAAGTAACTGTTTTGAGAGGCATTTAATTGGTGGGAAAAGTTCCTCTTTAACATGCATAAATATATCTGATGCAGATCCACTTCAGTTGCAAGAGTGTACGACTGAAAAATGTATTTATAACAGCAAAATATTGTGTAGCTGTCCTTATTTTGGCATTATGATTCACGTTACCTAGAGCTTGGCAAGCATGTGGATTTGCTATGTACACCATTGACTTTACTGACCAATGGGTAAAGGTCGGGCATACTGACACACCTTTTCAGTGTTCAGATACCTGCATATATATCAACTAATATGCATACTTCAGACTGTACAAGCAGTATACAAAGCAGCACAGTTACCTCAGTTACATTATTTTGGTGCCTTTTACAAGAATTAAAGCTTATATGGCATTTCTACCCAAAACTGTAATTTCAGTTTGTTGTGCAATTGCTGAGCCTGATGAAGGGGACCCTGCATGTCCCCGAAAGCGCTAGTTCTGGTGACATGATGTTCCAATAAACAAACACTTTGGACTTCAACACTATTGGTGTGCTGGTGACATCCGTTTATTTTTGTTTTATAAACCGTTCACACAGCGGGGGTGATTTACTAACCTAAACACACGCACGCACCAGGTGCGTGTGATTTTTACACAGCAAAGCGTATTTATCAACCAAAAAGTCTCTATAAGCATGTTTCCACTAATGCCATATATGGAAAAATCATGCACATGATGCATATATAATGCTGCTTCACAGTTTAGACAAAAATGGTTAGCTCATGCATTTACATTCCTGCATTAATCAACGCAAGCAACACAATGTAGAGCTAATTTACAAAACATCACCTTGCAATTCAGGGCAGGGCTTTGCACAACACACCTGCTAGGTGTGTACACACTACAAAGGTGTTTAGATTTCACCCATAGATCATGCTGGGAGGGAACACACTACAGAGGTGTATACATGTTCGTGGTGTGTTTATAAGGTTAGTAAATCAACCCCAGCCTTTCGATGTGCGAATGAGATTTGGAGAGCTGTATGGCCACTAGATGGAGCCACAGAGCATAGAACATTCCTATGATACTCTGTTCCATCTAGTGGCCATATAGTGCTGCAATTCTTGTTTGCACAGCAAAAAGCTGTGCAAATGGTTTATAAACCACCCCCTTAGTGTTTAGGGAGTGCCTTTTGAAAGGCTGGGTTTACACTTTTCTGCAGCTCCAACACTGAGCAGTTCAATATAAATGGCACACCAATGCACCAATGCAAAGCAGCTCCACTGCTCAGGTGTTGCAGTGCACCACAATGCACAGTAAAGCACAATTATGATTTGCAGTGCTTGGTGTTGCCAAAAATTATGCATGTTCTTTTTTTTTTTGGACAGAACGCACCTTAACACGATGCAACACTCTGGAAAAATGTGAACCCGACCTAACTCTTCCCCACTCTATCCAAAACTAAAATTTTTTTATCCCTAACCCAGCAGGTAATTCAAAACTTAGACATAGGTTTTGGATAGTGCTACCTTTTATCCCACCTCTAGCAACTGGCCCATATAAATACTCACAAAACAAAACAGGCAATATATTAAAGTTTGCTTTTTATTATTACCATTTAATGCCCAAGCAGTTTGTGTAATCTTTGATATGCCTGTCTGCCATCTAAGCTGAAAAATTACCAGCCTAAAAAGAAAAAAAGGGAAACCTGGCAATAAGACCAAGCAGTTCATCCCCTGCCTAAACTCCAGCTGACCTCAAGGCTGCTACAGAAAATAGTCCAGAAGGCAGAATACCATATTTCTAACAGATTTCCATAAATATCAAACAGAAAACGGGAGTGAATTCCAAAAATTCATCAGCACTGGGCCTTAGAGTCTGATTACTGAAGGCCCCCAGAGCAGAAAATATTTGCTGCAAATATCCAATAAAATTAACCATTCTACCCATACTATCAAAAAAGAGAATATTGAGTACTCTAAAATGTATTCAAGAGGGAACTGATAGCATTAAAGTTATTACTATTGTGTCTTAAAGGGAATCTGCCCACGCAAGGCAAAGCAACAGGACTACTTTATTGACAACCCTACCAGCAGCACATACTCATATGTACAACCGCCAGGAGCAAATTGAAATATCCAGTCCTTCTGTGTAAGGGAAGCATGTCACTTACTCAACTTCCTCCCACAAGAAAGTGCTGGAGCTTTGCAGTTGGCTGCTCAGGTACCCAGCGTTGTCACATGAGGGCAGGGAGAGAGTCCTCAGCCTAGTATAAAAACTTCTGAGCTTTAACGGGACTTCTTCTACCTTTTACCATGGATAAACATGGATGTTGTAATTTAAGCCATAGTGACAGCTCCTTTTGTGAAAAACACAACTTGCAGCTGATACCCACCCTCCCTGTGCTCTCCAGCTGCTTTATTCCTCCGTACGAGCTGGGAGTCCTCACCTGGTGTAAGCTCTGTATCAGATGGTGTCAAAGCTCACACAGAGGTAAACTATTTCTCTTCTTGTCAGGAAACAAGAAGAGTGTGTGGGCCTGGCAATTGGCCAATCAGGCCTGAGAAATGCATTCTAGGAGCAGGTCACATGCTCCTCCATACCTGGAAGCAATTGGTATATAATGAAAGCTCCAAATGAGCAATGTAGTTGTGGGACAGCGCTGAGAAAGTGAGTAGGTGGGTTGTTTTCTGTCCAGAAAACCTGTCCCTTTTCCCTGATTGGCCAGTGACAGAATCTTTATAAATATGTCTCTGAAGGTTCTCATTTATCCAGGTCATAGTATAGCTAGTAGCAGTTAATCACATTCAACTGGACTTTTTCTTTAATGTTAAAGACATTTCACTACTCTACTATTCAAGTAGCTTTCTCAGCTGTTATGAGCATCAGGAAAATACACCAGTATTTATAGCCACACCGGTAACCTTCCAATCACCATGAAATGTGTCAAGGCACATGCTGATTTTCCAAGAACATTACGGGAGGTGTGAAAGTTTGTGAAACCACCATGTTCTGTTTCCATAATTCAGTCATCATGATGCCATCAAGTCTGAGACATGTGTTTATTGTTAGATTCGCACAACTGAAGGTGTGAATTGTTGCCTAATCATTGTAAATATGGCATTATGTGTATGTGATAGATGGTTTTGAAGACCCTCCAGGTCGCTGTAAATGCTGGGGTATGTTCCTCAAGCTCGTTAGACCTAAAGAAGCTACTTGGATGAGTGGCAAAACATCCTCAACATTGCAGAACAAGTCTAGTTGAATGCCACAAACTACTGCGATATTTTATTTTTAAATAAAAGCAACTGCAGGCTCCAGAATTATAAGTAATCTAAATATTTGCTGTGCAATGGCAAAATACAGGTGTGCTTGAAGGTCAACTTTTTAATTTGGGAAATCTGATAACTGGCGTCATTATTTTACTTCTGTATTCAAAACGTGCAAAGTGTAACTAAAATGACATGAAGTTAATGTTTCTAGCACACGGGTACCCTGGAAAAATGTTCGTCTAAATTACACCCACATAGTATCAAAGCAACTAATAAGGCCTTAAGCAAATGCAATTACATGCTTGAGTGTTATTATATTAAAACATTTTACAGTGTTACATGGAGACTGTCTAATATGCATTCAGTTTGTGTTATTAGACCTTAGAGAGCAACCTGCTCGCTGAGGCTTGGAAGCTCGCCTCCTGCTTGATCTTTAGCGGGGTCATGTGGCCAAAAGGGATTTATGAGGTAACAGAAAAAGGAAGACGGCAGTTTCAAAGACAAGTGTACACGGGATGGCATTTAAGGTTGAAATACGCCCGTCTCCAACCAACAAACAGTTTAAGTCATGAAAACATTTGTGGGGAAATCTACACTACACAACCTTACCTA